TCCATATGAAGAAGAAGCATGAAAATATTTAAAATCCTCATTTTGGGACCACAGCAACAGGAATGAAATCCCATTAGTTTACTCAAATGGCGAGGTGCATGGCAGAAATTTTAGCTTTGCCACATACAGTCAGGAGGGGTGGGACAGGCATGGTTCAGGGTCCTTAATATAAGTAATATACAATATATCTCTGTATCCAGGGAACCTTGAAAAGTTCCTTCAGCTAATGTACTGCCCAGTGCTTCCTCTCCCTGGAACACCTTATCTCTTGAAGAATAAGGCACTGTGCTTTTCTTTCATCATTCTCCTTCTCAAAGGGACATTAATCCAAAAAGCGTACATGTAAGTAAATGTTAAGTTTTGAACATTAAGTCTTGGACATTAGGTTTTGGAGAAGCTAAGGAAATCAAGTCTCTTAGAAGACAGGGAAGTTGTAATGTGTTCTGCTGTGATTTTTCTCTCTTGCTGTAGAATTTGAGATCCCCTTCCGGCTTCAACCATGTGGACTGGCATTATTCACCTTGCCCATTCAAAAATGAACTAAAACCTTTAATAATTATTGACATTTGTTAGTGGCAATCCTAAGGAGTGTTTGGGTGGTGGAGAATGCTGTTTCACCATTGGCATCTAAGTAAAAATATAAAAAGTTATGGTATTATTATTATTATTATTATTATTATTATTATTATGTATTGAAGTTCTCACCCTGGCCACTAAGGGTCAAAGGAGCATAAGTGGGGCCTATTCCTCAGCCTCTGTGGACCTAAGGTGTTCAGGACAGCCCAAGTTTTGGTCTTGCCACTAGCAGTCCAGGCAGCGCCATGGGACATGCTAAAAGAGAAGCTCAAAAACCACTACACTCCAAAGCTGTCCAAAATTGCTGTTGCAATGCGTTCTACCACCAGGACCAGGCAGAGGGGGAGTCGATCAACAGCTACATCGCCACCCTCCGAAAGGCCGCACTGCACTGTGAGTTCTGAGACTTAGAACTCAAATCAAATTGTCTGCAGGGTTTGGAACAACCGTCTGCAACGGCGTCTTCTTGCCAAGCCAGACCTCACACTGCAGAAGACCACTGAGGAACAACCATCTGTTACTATGAAAGTAATATGTTAAGAAAGTAATATATTAAGATGCTATTATTGAGAGAGAGTTTACTAAATATAGTAAAAGCTGAATTGCATAAAGGCTGTGTGTGACCAGCTACACACTTGGTCAAAGTCTTGCATACACTGTTAAAATGCACTCAGATTATTGGTTGAGGTTTTCATGAGTAAAAACCAACTTTTAAAGAATTCTGAATTAAGAACTAAGAATATAATCTATTATGGAACAGCCCTCTTTTTGGCTGGCTGGACAGCTAACCATCCATAAATTAACAGCAAGAATAGGGACCTGGAATGTTGTTTGTGCTTTTTTAGTATTTCCCTCCCATGAAAGATCTCCCTTTCTCATATAAGATGTTTGTTCTGGAACACTTTCCACAGACTAATGTGAACAGGGAAATAAAAATTATTTTGCCTAAGACCTCTCCTGGCATGTACACTCAAAGCCATCTCAATTTTCAATTAATAGATGTCCAAGGAGGTATCTTTGGATTGAAGCTCTTTGGGTTGATTGACCCTCCAAAGTTGTCAAATGCATTAGTGACAGCAGAATTAAGATGTTGATAGACAAATACCTCAAGGCTTATTGACACAGTTACCCAGTAGGTGATTCCTCCTAGGTTTCTCTTGGGTGAAAGGCAATATTGAACAAAGTTACCTTATGTATGGTTCCTTTGAAGGAAAAGTGATTTTTAATGTTTGCATGCAAATTGATGTATTAAGGTAAATGGAGAAAGTATGTACAATGAACCATGGTGAATAATTGGAAGAGGAAGAATTTTGTGTTCTGATTGTAACTGCATTTTTCCAGAACCATTTCTATCTGAAGTATGTAAGGTGTAAATGAACTTTTATATGAATGTATCAAAAGACTTTCAAGTTTATATTTGCGACCACCCAGGGGGGAAAGATATGAATTATCTGGGCATTAATTTTGAAATTTCTGAGTAATATCTGCCAGTTTCTGACGCCTGGTGGGGATTATATGCAATTCCAAGACATATGTTCTCTTGGAAAATTGTGCCTTTTATTGTTTAATAATATACAATCTTGCAGGAAGTGCAGAGAAAGTGGAACTTGGGTTTTCAAACCAAAATGCTAAGTAAAACAGAATGTTGTGAACACTGGCCCAACTGAAGGTAAAAGTGCATTATAATTTGTATGTCTGAATTACATAAATGTGCAGTATTTTATTATTATCAAACATGGTTACACTGACGCAAATTCAGGCACACTCCAGTTTAATATCCCTGTAACTACTTGATAAGAATTTTGTGTGTGTGTGAATCCATGTAGGAAGAGTGTTGGGGTGAAATAGCAAATGTGTGTATTGGGAGACTGGGACCTTAATTCATAAAGCAAATAACACCAAGCAAGCTTTGTCCTTCAGCAGAATACACTTAAGATACAGTGTACACAAAGCTACAGTGATACACAAAAGCTACAGAGCTTTTCTGTAGTGTAAGATTTGTTTACATTCTCTGTAGCATATGCAAGCAGGACCAAAAATGCAGGAGGAATCAGAAAGGATTCCATCAAAAAAAAAAAAAGGAAGGAAGGAAGGAAGGAAGGAAGAACACAAATGTACAATCAAAGTCCTCAACCCCCCCATCTGCTCTGCATAGGATTGAATTAAATAGATATGCAAAAAAAGTTGAGTTGCACTCTGTCTTCTTCTGTGTGTGATATATACAGATGCAGAAATGAGTTTATATTTAGTCAGCATGAGTTGCTTATTCCTCCTGTTTAATAGGAATACCCTTTCTGACTGTCAACAGATGTTTTCTTATAAGAAAATTCAGCCATACAGCAGGTAGCACTTAACTTATTGTTGTACCATAATTATAACTGAACCACTGTCCCAAGTCCATTAAGTACGTGAATAAGTATATCAAGATTAAATCATTTGCAGATAAATAATAGATAATAATAGGGAAAACTGGGAAGGACGGTCAATCAACTTTCAAATGCAGCCCAACAGAACACCCTTTTGCAGTAAATATTCTGCAGAAAGAGTTTAAGATAGAAGCATATCTTAAAAGGCAAAGGTAGAATAATCACGGTAATATGCTACCTTCCAAGAGGATCTCATTCTTTTGTGATTTAATCTCTGCTTGCAATTTGTGTGTGTGTATTCTACAATCACATTTAACCCTCGAGAAGAGCCAGCATCTGGTACATGTTTTTTATGTGTTTTTAAGCTTTCTGTTTGTGTGAATGATTTCAGAAGCCAGATCATCACCTGTGTTACCTTGTTAACATACTTCATCTTTGTGTCAGTGTCAAGAGAGAGAGAGAGAGAGAGAGAGAGAGAGAGAGAGAGAAGGAAGGGGAAAAAATAATAATGATGATGTTGGGACTGAAGAATTTAGAAAGGACCTAAGAAAAGGAGGTGAAGTGGACAAAATGACAGTACAAAAGGGTGTTTCAGTATATAAGATCATATAGTGATAAAGTTGGTCCTGAGGGCAGCAGAGTACAGGGATGGGAATTGGCTGAAGAAACAGAAGGCATTAATGGGGTAATGGGGCCCTTTGGATGTCCAGCAGTCCTTTGTTGGGCTCAAATTGTCATTTTTTGGGTGTGTATTGAATATATGCTATATGGTGATTTGTGGACCTAGTAGGTACCCAGAGCCATTTGCACATGGCGAAATATGTTTTTATCAAGGTAATTTTATCAAGGTAATTGTTAGACCCTGATGATGACCAACCCATAGCCGATTAACCACTACGAAACAAAGTTTGCCTCCCTGCATGCAAACAGCAGTGACTGCTGCCACTCTGATTACAAAAGCTGACAAGTTCACCTTTGGACAGGAAACCACGTGCGTCACTCCTCACGCTGGGCCAGCATTGTTGGACATGAAAGGAACTTATTTTTCTATCTCCCTTTGCCAAGCACTGCTCCTGCACCCGCAGTTGCAGCTTCAAGTTACTGAGGTTCTTAACCCGGTTACGCCACCACCTATGGGAGAGAATGGGCCTCCAACACCTGACTGCATATATTCCAGCAGGCCTGATTTGAAGGATGAAGCAAACCCCAGGCAGTATGAGATTGGACTGCTACAATTGATCTACACCAACCCCTTCGATTCACCATCTCTCGGTGCCCTACAGACGCCGCCTCACGCTTCTCCTCACCGCATCGGCTCAGCGCCCACCAGACGACTGCCCTGCTGGTGCCACCCCTGGAAGCTGGCATCTCTACGCACGGCACAAGAAAAATCCAGCGTGGACTAAAAGAGGACATTTTCTTTTCTTTCCCTTTGAATATGTAGCTTTGTATATAGCTTTGTGGGAGGTACCCTCGGTATTAGAAGAAGAAGGTATTAGGAAAGAAATAGATCCCTGTGCCCAAATGATGCAGGTAGGGCTGTGGGGGGACATGGTTTTAGCCGGGATGGTAGTCTTCTGATTTCTGGCCATCGCCGTGCCCACACCACTTAAGGTAACCCAGCGGCTAATGAGAGAATGGGGTGCCCGCAACACGCAGAAATGGAAGCCTATTCTGCAAAACCGAACCAATTGCACAGTCTGCACCCGGAACCTCTTGCACTCTGTGACCTACAGATGCTTTGGGAGGAGTACCCCTCCTCCTTGTGCCTTGGAATGAGTCCTCAGTTACGGCCCCGATTTTGGCTTCCGCCGGATTTTGGGCTGCATTAAATTTGACAGAAGGAGCCTGTGGCTTTAACATCTCTGACCATGGCTCTGACCATGGTATAGCTATTCGACACCTGGCAACAGAAAGAGAGAAAGTAGCCCATGTTCCTGTCCCAACCTGGAACGGATGGGACATATCTTGGTTGACTCAGTGGCTTCTGAACCTTGGGTGGCTTAGAGCAGTGTTTCTAACCTTGGGCCTCCAGCTGTTTTTGAACTACAATTCCCATCATCCCTGACCACTGGTCTTGCTAGCTAGGGATGATGGCAGTTGTAGTTCGAAACAGCTGGAGGCCCAAGGTTGGGAAACTCTGGCTTAGAGGACTTGTAATGATGTTAATGGACTAATCTTGCTTCTTTTCTGCTCCTGTATACCCTGCTTAACGTAATGCTTGCAAAATATGATGCATAAAATGATGTTACGAATGATTCGGCCCCAGATTATAGCACTGACACGAGAATACCGGCCAGTACCTTGGGACGAGCCGAAAGGCTGTCCAAAAGAAGAGTAGGGAATGAAGGAATGGGTTTCCAAAACCCAAAAACTGACTGTGCAGGCAGTTTTAAATTGCACTAAAATCCCTATTTTTCCTTAGCTAAAATGCATAAACTCAAGCCGTTGAGTAAATCCATAACAAAAACAGAGCTCTCTCCCTTATCAGTCCGTGGCGGCAATGAGTGAGCTTGCCAAGTTCCAGTACAGCAGGGATGATGCGTGTGTGCTTTATCTTACGTCCTGAACACACTCTGACACACAAACCCAGGTCCGGGAACAAACGCCAGAGCGTGTTCCCGGAGATGATTACGTCTTCCCAGATAAGAGTAGGAAGAGGAAGATCCTTTTATGGTCAGAAGTACAGGAAGGAAGATCCTTTTATGGTTGAGAGTACCAGAGCAGGAACATATGTGAAGTCAACCTGCGTATACAAGTTGACGTGGCTGGGGAAGGGGGAGAGGGTGTCTGGAGGATATAAATACTGCATGAAACTTGTCATTTCTTTGGACTTGCTGTGGACTTGATCACGCAAGTGCCTTCTGCTATCCGGAGAGCAGAATAAACTCTTTCTTTGAATCAACCTCAGGTGTCATTTGACTACCTTCCTCCTGTCCCAGAGCAACGCAGACCCAATCGGTGAATTCCAATAAGGCTACACAACGGCGTCTTCTCTCGAAGCCAGAACTCACACTGCAGAAGACCATTGAGGAGGCTGTGGCCTCAAAAGCTGCTGAACTCTTCGCCCAGGAGATTCTCAAGGACAGCAGCCTGCATCCTGATAAGAAGCTAATCCCAGTGCACCATGAGGAGGCTAGCAGTAATGAAGCATCCCCCAGCAAAGACAATGACGTATACCAGACGAAGCAGGAGCGCAGGAAGTTCAAAAAGAGGTACAAGGACAAATCAGAATGTGCTGGGTGTGGAGGCAATCATTTCCATATCAAGTGTCAATTCAGGTTTTGAAATTTTTTGCTATGCATCTCATGCAGTAAAACAAAATAATTACAGGGGTGTGTCTGGTATGGTTTTCTGCTATAACGGGTGTCCATTTGAATGGAAGTCCCAGAAACAAACCATTATATGTCTCTCCACGATGGAGAGTGAATTATGCGCATGCACTCAGGCTATTTGCAATGTAGAATGGTACCTACAAGTATTTGCAGATCTACAGATACAAGTAACACTACCAGTCAATGTCTACCTCGATTCCCAGAGTGGACTCGCGATTCTGTGTTCAGAAACTAATACGCAACGCACTAGAGTTTTGAGATTATGTTTGCAATTTGCAAATAAGCTAATTGCTGACAAAATAATCGCTTTTCAGTATGTTTCAGGTGACAACCAAATTGCTGACATTTTTACTAAGGCACTCTGAAGGTCACACATGAAAGATATGTACAGAATATCCTTTACGTTTCTGTTCCACAGTTATGAACCACAGGGGAAATGTTGTTTAAACGTTAGGGTTCATTATTTTTCCACAGTGTGTGGACCCCTTTAAAAGCCAAGGTGCATATCCTGACCTAGCTTTACAGCTGTGTAGCAGTGTAGTAGGTGCTGATAAGTCACTGTAATTAGCTGTGTCAGCAATTGTCAATGATATATAATGTGTAGTATGTATTTTATTTTGCCCCCTGGTGGGTGGGTGGGTGATGATTATAGACACTCTGTAAGATGCATGTTAGAGGAGTTTTGTTATTAAATCATGCAAATATATTTTTGTGTCTCTTCAGTGTTTCCATCTGTGTGGTCTACTTTGCACACACTCTGGCATGTTTCAAATGTCCAGTAGATTGTCTCATCCATGCCTACAAAGCTGTGCCTGGTTATCTGTACCCTGTACATCTTGGAGTTCCTGGCTTTTCATCGCATACACAACTATCTATGTTCTTAATGAGCAAATCACCCACTACTAGAAGCCCTACACCCCTTGGAGAACTACCCATGGCACAAGAGAATAGCTGTTCATTCCCCAAGGAATTGGCCCATCCTAAGGGAATGTTTCCCTCTTACTCAAAGTGATGCCCTCTGTCCTTGACACCCTCCTTTTCCTTGACGCCAATGGAGCTACCCTTGTGGGAGTGGGACACAGCTATACTGTCCTGAAGGCTTAATCCAGCAACCTCTCATAGCCTTTCAAGGTCTGAAACCTTGACCTCAAGGAGAAAAGGTGCTACTGGAGAGCCAGGAGCTAATGGCACCTTGAACACAACCACAACATCTGTCCAACCAAGAGAAACGCTGGAAAGCACCCACACCCTGCACAATTGTTTTTGCAGTTTAAGTTACTTGATTTTTATTTTTATTTTTAGGTCAAGGAAACTAGGGGCAGCATGATGTGCACTGGCCTCCCCATCTGATAAACTCACCTCAGCCCTTCTTCAGGTGTACATGTTATTATTGTGTTATGTACTGTATTATTGCATTATTCAATATGTTCTAGACGCTTCACAGGATTCATATTAATTGGTTAATAAATGAAAGAAAAACCATTTAATGATTATGACCGGGGGAGATCTGAGTGGTCACCTTCTATGGGTGAGGCAGCAGTTCTCAAGTTCTGCTTTCTCATTTGTCCAACAGAAGGGGTACTTATTCCTTTTTTCGTCTCCTCTGTTGGCTACTTCAATGACTTTCACAGGCATTGGTACCTTTTACTGTAAATTGGACACAATTGCTGAGTTATTGTGGGTTAGAATGGGGGGTGGGGAGACCTATAGGGATAATTGTATACACATTGTGGTGGAGAGTGGAGGATGGCCTGCTAAGCCAACTGGATTGAAGAGGCATGCAATGATGACCTATGTATTATTCAATTGAGTTATTGATTATCATTTTTTCACTATTGGAGTATCTGAATGTATGAAAAAGAGATTTTATACAGCTCTCAGTCACCACCAGCATTCCTTTTTATAGACCCAAGAGAAGACAGATTCAGAATGCTTTTTCAATGTTTTATTCATTCGTAAATTTGTTAATCCAGCTTTCATATGCAGTAAACAACTTCAACACACACATCCTATTCTAGAAACTGAACTCATTAAACAAATAGTTGATAGATTGCATGCCTTATTAGACTGGTTGACTGCCACCTAGCAGGCAAGATTCTGACCAAGCCAGGAGTTATATGATATGTTCTGAATCCAATGATGTTCATTGTCCTGTGAAGTGTGAGTCTCATGGACTTAAAATAGGCTATTTATATGATTTACTCCAGATTCCTTTTGCGATATTACCAGATGGTCTTCATCTTATCTCTACCTTGTATTATGCCAGAGATTCTTCATCAACCCACGCTTCCTTGGCATTGTCTTCTACTTCCAGGTCTACAACCTCATTCACAGCCTTAATATGATATTTTCCCACCTTAATAGGATATTTTTCAACACCTTTGAACAGCCATGCTTCATTTTACCTGAAGTATATTAGTTAGTATATTCCCCCTATATTTAATTTCCTAGCTTAAGGTATTGAGCAGTTTTTCATGTTCCAGAACTTTCCCCTTAACTAGTATTTTTGTCTAATACATTGTAGTTTAAAGGTTCTTTCATTAAAAAATTCACGGGGGCTTTCCTTTTAAGATTATCTCCAATAGTACACAGGTCCAGATGCTCCTTTGGCTCTAACAACCTAAAGGATTTTATACTTGACTCAAAAAGAGGATGATGGTTTATGCACCTTCTTGGCACATTTACACCCATAGTTATTGAAAAGGACCTTTCTGTTTTGGTAGAGTTTGTGAGATCATCTATTCAACATTACAGTGGTGCCCCGCAAGACGAATGCCTCGCAAGACGGAAAATTCGCTAGACAAAAGGGTTTTCCGTTTTTTGAGCTGCTTCGCAAGACGAATTTCCCTATGGGCTTGCTTCGCAAGATGAAAATGTCTTGCAAGTTTGTTTCCTTTTTCTTAACACCGTTAATACAGTTGCGACTTGACTTCGAGGAGCAACTCATAGAACGCAGTGTACATAGTAGCCTTTTTTGAGGTTTTTAAAGACTTTGGTGATTTTTGAAGCTTTTCCAAAACTTCTTTTGCATCCATTTGGTAAGTTAAGCTTTTAAAACTTTTTTGGCGGGTTTTGGATTTTGGGTTGGGGTGTTTGGAATTCAAGGACTTGGTGTTGGGGAGGGGTTTGCAAGAATCTGGAAGCTTGTGTGTGTTTTTTCTGCATTTTTATGATTTTCTGTGACCATTGGGCCACTCTGCTGTTTTTTAAAAAAAAATTCTGGATTTGAATTTCTGTGTGCTGGGTGGCTTGGGGAACAGTTGGGGAGGGGTTAGCAAGAATCTGGAAGCTTGTGTTTTTTTCTGCATTTTTATTATTTTCTGTGACCATTGGGCCACTCTGCTGTTTTTTTAAAAAAATTCTGGATTTGAATTTCTGTGTGCTGGGTGGCTGGGGGAACAGTTGGGGAGGGGTTTGCAAGAATCTGGAAGCTTGTGTGTTTTTTTCTGCATTTTTATGATTTTCTGTGACCATTGGGCAACTCTGCTGTTTTTTTTTAAAAAAATCTGGGTTTGAATTTTGAAATGCTCTTTAAAGTATGTGTGACTTTAAAGAGCAATTAATAAACTCTTGTTGTACCAAATTTGGCTTCGTTTGGACTTTTTTTGACCATAGGAACGCATTAATTGATTTTCAATGCATTCCTAAGGGATTTCGTGCTTCGCAAGACGAAAAATTCGCTAGACGAAAAAATTCGCGGAACGAATTAATTTCGTCTTGCGAGGCACCACTGTACTTGCAGAAATTGTAAAGGTAAAGGGGACCACTGACCATTAGGTCCAGTTGTGGCTGAGTCTGGGGTTGCGGTGCTCATCTCTCTCCCCCCCCCCACTATGGAATATTCTTCCCTCCACACCCCTTAGCACTCTTTTGGGGCTTCTCCTGTCTGTTTCAGAGGCTATTATTATTATTACTATTATTATTATTAGCGGATGCTCTGGATGGAAATGGGCTAAAGACCTGTTTTGCACTTGTAAGTGCTTGCACTATGCTTCTGCTTTTGGGATTGGTTAAATGAATCCTTTCCATTGCACATTGAAAAGAGTCATGGTATTTCAATTACATTATGATTTTCTTTCCCCAAAGTGTATGGGAGAGGTTTTTTTCTTTCAAAATAAGTTTGGGCCTTTGGCCTCCTCGGTTAAGCGTCAATAGTTTCAAATTCAAAAAAAAATAAAATTAAAAATATTGGTGCACAGGGAACAATTCCAATATTGAGAAAAGAATCCATTTCAATCTCTGATGTGACTTTGAAAGTTTTATTCTGAAAGGAATCAGCTCACTGGGAAACCTCTGTTAAGATAAAAATTAGCTATTAGGCCTAGAATGTATTAGTTAGGACATTTGCTATAGTTTAATACTTTGCTACATTTAACCTCTCCGTTATCTAGCACTGAACACTGCTTTTGCACTTCAACACATTTACTATTGAAGGAAGCAACAGACTTTTCACCTTAAATATTAAGGGAAAAATTAATGTCCTGGATTAATTTATTGAGAGAAAAACTAATCCCCTGGCCACTAATGTTCAAGGAAATATCAGTGATTTCCTTTTTGCCTGAAAGGAAAAGTTTGATCATTCGAACTAATCTGGTGAGAGCTGCTTCCGTCCCTTGGCCTTTTATGATCAGAGTAAATCGGGTCTGCTGTTCTGCTGAGTTGGGTGCCCCACCAATTTGTAGACCTTCAGCATTCAGGGAATGATCTGTGATTTCCTTTTCCTTGGTAAGGAAAGCCTTGATGTTGGTGACTAAACTCTTCATGGAAACTTCTGGTCCTTGAGCTTATATGTTCAGCGTCAAGCTGACCTTTCTGTCTTCCTTGGATGAAACCTCAGTCCCTCTGTGTTCTGTGTTCAGGAACTCATTACTGCTTTGGATTAATTTTGTAATTGATGTACTAATTCTTTGGCCTTGTATGTTCAGGGATATATCATGGATCTTCTTTGCCTTTTAGAAGAAACATGATCTTTTGGATTAATCTCTTAATAGATGGTTCGGTTCCTTGTCCTCTTATGTTCAGGGTAAAGAGCTTTTTGTATTCTATGCTGTTTCCTGATCCAGCCATCCATTCAACATCAGTTTTAGTGAAATGATCTGTGATTTCCGTTTCCCTAGTAAGAAAAGCTTTGATTCCAGTGGTTAAAAGTCTCATAGAATAGTCAGCGCCTTGGGCTTGAATTTTCAGTGTGAAGCTGACCTTCTTGTCTTCTTTCTCGGGGGAAAGCTCGGTCCCTCCACGTTCTTTTTTTAGGAAAACATTAATCTCTTGTACTAAACTGTAGGTGGAAGGACTAATTTCTGGGCCTTTTATGTTCATTGAAATATTTCGAATTCCTTTTGGGCTAGGAGAAGAAACCTGGTCTTTTCGAGTAATCTCTTAAGAGCTGATTCCATCCCTTGCCCTTTTATATGCAGAGTAAATCGGATCCGCTGTTCTGCTGAGTTGGGTTGCCCAGGGATTCCTTGGCCTCTTACATTCAGCGAATATGCTGTGATTTCCTTTTCCTCGGTAAGGAAAGCCTTGATGTCGCCGACTAAGCTCTTCGTGGAATCTTCAGTTCCTTCAGCTTGTATGTTCAGTGTGAAGCTGACATTCTTGTCTTCGTCCTCGGGGGAAACCTCGGTCCCTCCACGTTCTTCTTTTAGGAAAACATTGATCTCTTGAATTAAACTGTGGGTGGAAGGACTAATTCCTGGGCCTTTTATGTTCATTGAAATATTTCGGAATTCCTTTTGGGCTAGGAGAAGAAACCTGGTCTTTTCGAGTAATCTCTTAAGAGCTGATTCCATCCCTTGCCCTTTTATATGCAGAGTAAATCGGATCCGCTGTTCTGCTGAGTTGGGTTGCCCAGGAATTCCTTGGCCTTCGACATTCAGAGAATATTTTCTGATTTCCTTTTCCTCGGTAATTAAAGCCTTGATGTCGCCGACAAACCTCTTCGTGGAAACTTCAGTACCTTCAGCTTGTATGTGCAGTGTGAAGCTGACCTCCTTGTCTTCTTCCTCGGGGGAAACCTCGGTCCCTCCACGTTCTTCTTTTAGGAAAACATTGATGTCTTGTATTAAACTGTTGGTGGAAGCACTAATTCCTGGGCCTTTTATGTTCATTGAAATATTTCGAATTCCTTTTGGGCTAGGAGAAGAAACCTGGTCTTTTCGAGTAATCTCTTAAGAGCTGATTCCATCCCTTGCCCTTTTATATGCAGAGTAAATCGGATCCGCTGTTCTGCTGAGTTGGGTTGCCCAGGGATTCCTTGGCCTTCGACATTCAGAGAATATTTTGTGATTTCCTTTTCCTCGGTAATTAAAGCCTTGATGTCGCCGACAAACCTCTTCGTGGAAACTTCAGTACCTTCAGCTTGTATGTGCAGTGTGAAGCTGACCTCCTTGTCTTCTTCCTCGGGGGAAACCTCGGTCCCTCCACGTTCTTCGTTTAGGAAAACATTGATCTCTTGTATTAAACTGTAGGTGGAAGGACTAATTTCTGGGCCTTTTATGTTCATTGAAATAATTCGCAATTCCTTTTGGGCTAGGAGAAGAAACCTAGTCTTTTCGAGTAACCTCTTAAGAGCTGATTCCATCCCTTGCCCTTTATATGCAGAATAAATCGGATCCGCTCTTCTGCTGAGTTGGGTTGCCCAGGGATGTCTTGGCCTCTTACATTCAGCGAATATTTTGTGATTTCCTTTTCCTCGGTAAGGAAAGCCTTGATGTCGCCGACTAACCTCTTCGTGGAAACTTCAGTTCCTTCAGCTTGTATGTTCAGTGTGAAGCTGACCTTCTTGTCTTCTTCCTCGGGGGAAACCTCGGTCCCTCCACGTTCTTCTTTTAGGAAAACATTGATCTCTTGTATTAAACTGTAGGTGGAAGGACTAATTCCTGGGCCTTTTATGTTCATTGAAATATTTCGAATTCCTTTTGGGCTAGGACAAGAAACCTAGTCTTTTCGAGTAACCTCTTAAGAGCTGATTCCATCCCTTGCCCTTTTATATGCAGAGTAAATCGGATCTGCTGTTCTGCTGAGTTGGGTTGCCCAGGGATTCCTTGGCCTCTGACATTCAGCGAATATGCTGTGATTTCCTTTTCCTCGGTAATTAAAGCCTTGATGTCGCCGACAAACCTCTTCGTGGAAACTTCAGTACCTTCAGCTTGTATGTGCAGTGTGAAGCTGACCTCCTTGTCTTCTTCCTCGGGGGAAACCTCGGTCCCTCCACGTTCTTCTTTTAGGAAAACATTGATGTCTTGTATTAAACTGTTGGTGGAAGCACTAATTCCTGGGCCTTTTATGTTCATTGAAATATTTCGAATTCCTTTTGGGCTAGGAGAAGAAACCTGGTCTTTTCGAGTAATCTCTTAAGAGCTGATTCCATCCCTTGCCCTTTTATATGCAGAGTAAATCGGATCCGCTGTTCTGCTGAGTTGGGTTGCCCAGGGATTCCTTGGCCTTCGACATTCAGAGAATATTTTGTGATTTCCTTTTCCTCGGTAAGGAAAGCCTTGATGTCGCCGACTAACCTCTTCCTGGAAACTTCAGTACCTTCAGCTTCTATGTTCAGTGTGAAGCTGACCTTCTTGTCTTCTTCCTCGGGGGAAACCTCGGTCCCTCCACGTTCTTCTTTTAGGAAAACATTGATCTCTTGTATTAAACTGTAGGTGGAAGGACTAATTTCTGGGCCTTTTATGTTCATTGAAATATTTCGCAATTCCTTTTGGGCTAGGAGAAGAAACCTAGTCTTTTCGAGTAACCTCTTAAGAGCTGATTCCATCCCTTGCCCTTTTATATGCAGAATAAATCGGATCCGCTCTTCTGCTGAGTTGGGTTGCCCAGGGATGTCTTGGCCTCTTACATTCAGCGAATATTTTGTGATTTCCTTTTCCTCGGTAAGGAAAGCCTTGATGTCGCCGACTAACCTCTTCGTGGAAACTTCAGTTCCTTCAGCTTGTATGTTCAGTGTGAAGCTGACCTTCTTGTCTTCTTCCTCGGGGGAAACCTCGGTCCCTCCACGTTCTTCTTTTAGGAAAACATTGATCTCTTGTATTAAACTGTAGGTGGAAGGACTAATTCCTGGGCCTTTTATGTTCATTGAAATATTTCGAATTCCTTTTGGGCTAGGACAAGAAACCTAGTCTTTTCGAGTAATCTCTTAAGAGCTGATTCCATCCCTTGCCCTTTTATATGCAGAGTAAATCGGATCCGCTGTTCTGCTGAGTTGGGTTGCCCAGGGATTCCTTGGCCTCTTACATTCAGCGAATATGCTGTGATTTCCTTTTCCTCGGTAAGGAAAGCCTTGATGTCGCCGACTAACCTCTTTCGTGGAAACTTCAGTACCTTCAGCTTGTATGTTCAGTGTGAAGCTGACATTCTTGTCTTCTTCCTCGGGGGAAACCTCAGTCCCTCCACGTTTTTCTTTTAGGAAAACATTGATCTCTTGAATTAAACTGTAGGTGGAAGGACTAATTCCTGGGCCTTTTATGTTCATTGAAATATTTCGCAATTCCTTTTGGGCTAGGAGAAGAAACCTGGTCTTTTCGAGTAATCTCTTAAGAGCTGATTCCATCCCTTGCCCTTTTATATGCAGAGTAAATCGGATCCGCTGTTCTGCTGAGTTGGGTTGCCCAGGGATTCCTTGGCCTTCGACATTCAGAGAATATTTTGTGATTTCCTTTTCCTCGGTAAGGAAAGCCTTGATGTCGCCGACTAACCTCTTCGTGGAAACTTCAGTACCTTCAGCTTGTATGTTCAGTGTGAAGCTGACCTTCTTGTCTTCTTCCTCGGGGGAAACCTCGGTCCCTCCACGTTCTTCTTTTAGGAAAACATTGATGTCTTGTATTAAACTGTGGGTGGAAGGACTAATTCCTGGGCCTTTTATGTTCATTGAAATATTTCGGAATTCCTTTTGGGCTAGGAGAAGAAACCTGGTCTTTTCGAGTAATCTCTTAAGAGCTGATTCCATCCCTTGCCCTTTTATATGCAGAGTAAATCGGATCCGCTGTTCTGCTGAGTTGGGTTGCCCAGGGATTCCTTGGCCTCTCGACATTCAGAGAATATTTTGTGATTTCCTTTTCCTCGGTAAGGAAAGCCTTGATGTCGCCGACTAACCTCTTCCTGGAAACTTCAGTACCTTCAGCTTCTATGTTCAGTGTGAAGCTGACCTTCTTGTCTTCTTCCTCGGGGGAAACCTCGGTCCCTCCACGTTCTTCTTTTAGGAAAACATTGATCTCTTGTATTAAACTGTAGGTGGAAGGACTAATTTCTGGGCCTTTTATGTTCATTGAAATATTTCGCAATTCCTTTTGGGCTAGGAGAAGAAACCTAGTCTTTTCGAGTAACCTCTTAAGAGCTGATTCCATCCCTTGCCCTTTTATATGCAGAATAAATCGGATCCGCTGTTCTGCTGAGTTGGGTTGCCCAGGGATGTCCTTGGCCTCTTGACATTCAGCGAATATTTTGTGATTTCCTTTTCCTCGGTAAGGAAAGCCTTGATGTCGCCGACTAACCTCTTCGTGGAAACTTCAGTTCCTTCAGCTTGTATGTTCAGTGTGAAGCTGACCTCCTTGTCTTCTTCCTCGGGGGAAACCTCGGTCCCTCCACGTTCTTCTTTTAGGAAAACATTGATCTCTTGTATTAAACTGTAGGTGGAAGGACTAATTCCTGGGCCTTTTATGTTCATTGAAATATTTCGAATTCCTTTTGGGCTAGGACAAGAAACCTAGTATTTTCGAGTAACCTCTTCAGAGCTGATTCCATCCCTTGCCCTTTTATATGCAGAGTAAATCGGATCCGCTGTTCTGCTGAGTTGGGTTGCCCAGGGATGTCTTGGCCTCTGACATTCAGCGAATATGCTGTGATTTCCTTTTCCTCGGTAAGGAAAGCCTTGATGTCGCCGACTAACCTCTTCGTGGAAACTTCAGTTCCTTCAGCTTGTATGTTCAGTGTGAAGCTGACCTTCTTGTCTTCTTCCTCGGGGGAAACCTCGGTCCCTCCACGTTCTTCTTTTAGGAAAACATTGATCTCTTGTATTAAACTGTAGGTGGAAGGACTAATTCCTGGGCCTTTTATGTTCATTGAAATATTTCGAATTCCTTTTGGGCTAGGACAAGAAACCTAGTCTTTTCGAGTAACCTCTTAAGAGCTGATTCCATCCCTTGCCCTTTTATATGCAGAGTAAATCGGATCTGCTGTTCTGCTGAGTTGGGTTGCCCAGGGATTCCTTGGCCTCTTACATTCAGCGAATATTTTGTGATTTCCTTTTCCTCGGTAAGGAAAGCCTTGATGTCGCCGACTAACCTCTTCGTGGAAACTTCAGTTCCTTCAGCTTGTATGTTCAGTGTGAAGCTGACCTTCTTGTCTTCTTCCTCGGGGGAAACCTCAGTCCCTCCACGTTCTTCTTTTAGGAAAACATTGATCTCTTGTATTAAACTGTAGGTGGAAGGACTAATTCCTGGGCCTTTTATGTTCATTGAAATATTTCGAATTCCTTTTGGGCTAGGAGAAGAAACCTGGTCTTTTCGAGTAATCTCTTAAGAGCTGATTCCATCCCTTGCACTTTTATATGCAGAGTAAATCGGATTCGCTGTTCTGCTGAGTTGGGTTGCTCAGGGATTCCTTGGCCTTCGACATTCAGAGAATATTTTGTGATTTCCTTTTCCTCGGTAAGGAAAGCCTTGATGTCGCCGACTAACCTCTTCGTGGAAACTTCAGTACCTTCAGCTTGTATGTTCAGTGTGAAGCTGACCTTCTTGTCTTCTTCCTCGGGGGAAACCTCGGTCCCTCCACGTTCTTCTTTTAGGAAAACATTGATCTCTTGTATTAAACTGTTGGTGGAAGGACTAATTCCTCCGCCTTTTATGTTCATTGAAATATTTCGGAATTCCTTTTGGGCAAGGACAAGAAACCTGGTCTTTTCGAGTAATCTCTTAAGAGCTGATTCCATCCCTTGCCCTTTTATATGCAGAGTAAATCGGATCCGCTGTTCTGCTGAGTTGGGTTGCCCAGGGATTCCTTGGCCTCTTACATTCAGCGAATATGCTGTGATTTCCTTTTCCTCGGTAAGGAAAGCCTTGATGTCGCCGACTAACCTCTTCGTGGAAACTTCAGTTCCTTCAGCTTGTATGTTCAGTGTGAAGCTGACCTTCTTGTCTTCTTCCTCGGGGGAAACCTCAGTCCCTCCACGTTCTTCTTTTAGGAAAACATTGATCTCTTGTATTAAACTGTAGGTGGAAGGACTAATTCCTGGGCCTTTTATGTTCATTGAAATATTTCGAATTCCTTTTGGGCTAGGAGAAGAAACCTGGTCTTTTCGAGTAATCTCTTAAGAGCTGATTCCATCCCTTGCCCTTTTATATGCAGAGTAAATCGGATCCGCTGTTCTGCTGAGTTGGGTTGCCCAGAGATTTCTTGGCCTCTTACATTCAGCGAATACTTTCTGATTTCCTTTTCCTCGGTAATTAAAGCCTTGATGTCGCCGACAAACCTCTTCGTGGAAACTTCAGTACCTTCAGCTTGTATGTGCAGTGTGAAGCTGACCTCCTTGTCTTCTTCCTCGGGGGAAACCTCGGTCCCTCCACGTTCTTCTTTTAGGAAAACATTGATGTCTTGTATTAAACTGTTGGTGGAAGCACTAATTCCTGGGCCTTTTATGTTCATTGAAATATTTCGAATTCCTTTTGGGCTAGGAGAAGAAACCTGGTCTTTTCGAGTAATCTCTTAAGAGCTGATTCCATCCCTTGCCCTTTTATATGCAGAGTAAATCGGATCCGCTGTTCTGCTGAGTTGGGTTGCCCAGGGATTCCTTGGCCTTCGACATTCAGAGAATATTTTGTGATTTCCTTTTCCTCGGTAAGGAAAGCCTTGATGTCGCCGACTAACCTCTTCGTGGAAACTTCAGTACCTTCAGCTTGTATGTTCAGTGTGAAGCTGACCTCCTTGTCTTCTTCCTCGGGGGAAACCTCGGTCCCTCCACGTTCTTCTTTTAGGAAAACATTGATCTCTTGTATTAAACTGTAGGTGGAAGGACTAATTCCTGGGCCTTTTATGTTCATTGAAATATTTCGAATTCCTTTTGGGCTAGGAGAAGAAACCTGGTCTTTTCGAGTAATCTCTTAAGAGCTGATTCCATCCCTTGCCCTTTTATATGCAGAGTAAATCGGATCCGCTGCTCTGCTGAGTTGGGTTGCCCAGGGATGTCCTTGGCCGCTTACATTCAGCGAATATTCTGTGATTTCCTTTTCCTCGGTAAGGAAAGCCTTGATGTCGCCGACTAACCTCTTCGTGGAAACTTCAGTTCCTTCAGCTTGTATGTTCAGTGTGAAGCTGACATTCTTGTCTTCTTCCTCGGGGGAAACCTCAGTCCCTCCACGTTTTTCTTTTAGGAAAACATTGATCTCTTGAATTAAACTGTAGGTGGAAGGACTAATTCCTGGGCCTTTTATGTTCATTGAAATATTTCGAATTCCTTTTGGGCTAGGAGAAGAAACCTGGTCTTTTCGAGTAATCTCTTAAGAGCTGATTCCATCCCTTGCCCTTTTATATGCAGAGTAAATCGGATCCGCTGTTCTGCTGAGTTGGGTTGCCCAGGGATTCCTTGGCCTCTTACATTCAGCGAATATTCTGTGATTTCCTTTTCCTCGGTAAGGAAAGCCTTGATGTCGCCGACTAACCTCTTCGTGGAAACTTCAGTTCCTTCAGCTTGTATGTTCAGTGTGAAGCTGACCTTCTTGTCTTCTTCCTCGGGGGAAACCTCAGTCCCTCCACGTTCTTCTTTTAGGAAAACATTGATCTCTTGTATTAAACTGTTGGTGGAAGGACTAATTCCTGGGCCTTGTATGTTCATTGAAATATTTCGAATTCCTTTTGGGCTAGGAGAAGAAACCTGGTCTTTTCGAGTAATCTCTTAAGAGCTGATTCCATCCCTTGCCCTTTTATATGCAGAGTAAATCGGATCCGCTGTTCTGCTGAGTTGGGTTGCCCAGGAATTCCTTGGCCTTCGACATTCAGAGAATATTTTGTGATTTCCTTTTCCTCGGTAAGGAAAGCCTTGATGTCGCCGACTAACCTCTTCGTGGAAACTTCAGTACCTTCAGCTTGTATTTTCAGTGTGAAGCTGACCTCCTTGTCTTCTTCCTCGGGGGAAACCTCGGTCCCTCCACGTTCTTCTTTTAGGAAAACATTGATCTCTTGTATTAAACTGTTGGTGGAAGCACTAATTCCTGGGCCTTTTATGTTCATTGAAATATTTCGGAATTCCTTTTGGGCTAGGAGAAGAAACCTGGTCTTTTCGAGTAATCTCTTAAGAGCTGATTCCATCCCTTGCCCTTTTATATGCAGAGTAAATCGGATCCGCTGTTCTGCTGAGTTGGGTTGCCCAGGGATTCCTTGGCCTCTTACATTCAGCGAATATTTTGTGATTTCCTTTTCCTCGGTAAGGAAAGCCTTGATGTCGCCGACTAACCTCTTCGTGGAAACTTCAGTTCCTTCAGCTTGTATGTTCAGTGTGAAGCTGACCTTCTTGTCTTCTTCCTCGGGGGAAACCTCGGTCCCTCCACGTTCTTCTTTTAGGAAAACATTGATCTCTTGTATTAAACTGTAGGTGGAAGGACTAATTCCTGGGCCTTTTATGTTCATTGAAATATTTCGAATTCCTTTTGGGCTAGGAGAAGAAACCTGGTCTTTTCGAGTAACCTCTTAAGAGCTGATTCCATCCCTTGCCCTTTTATATGCAGAGTAAATCGGATCCGCTGTTCTGCTGAGTTGGGTTGCCCAGGGATTTCTTGGCCTCTTACATTCAGCGAATATTCTGTGATTTCCTTTTCCTCGGTAAGGAAAGCCTTGATGTCGCCGACTAACCTCTTCGTGGAAACTTCAGTTCCTTCAGCTTGTATGTTCAGTGTGAAGCTGACCTTCTTGTCTTCTTCCTCGGGGGAAACCTCGGTCCCTCCACGTTCTTCTTTTAGGAAAACATTGATCTCTTGTATTAAACTGTTGGTGGAAGGACTAATTCCTGGACCTTTTATGTTCATTGAAATATTTCGAATTCCTTTTGGGCTAGGAGAAGAAACCTGGTCTTTTCGAGTAATCTCTTAAGAGCTGATTCCATCCCTTGCCCTTTTATATGCAGAGTAAATCGGATCCGCTGTTCTGCTGAGTTGGGTTGCCCAGGGATTCCTTGGCCTCTCGACATTCAGAGAATATTTTGTGATTTCCTTTTCCTCGGTAAGGAAAGCCTTGATGTCGCCGACTAACCTCTTCGTGGAAACTTCAGTACCTTCAGCTTGTATGTTCAGTGTGAAGCTGACCTTCTTGTCTTCTTCCTCGGGGGAAACCTCGGTCCCTCCACGTTCTTCTTTTAGGAAAACATTGATCTCTTGTATTAAACTGTAGGTGGAAGGACTAATTCCTGGGCCTTTTATGTTCATTGAAATATTTCGGAATTCCTTTTGGGCTAGGAGAAGAAACCTGGTCTTTTCGAGTAATCTCTTAAGAGCTGATTCCATCCCTTGCCCTTTTATATGCAGAGTAAATCGGATCCGCTGTTCTGCTGAGTTGGGTTGCCCAGGGATTCCTTGGCCTTCGACATTCAGAGAATATTTTGTGATTTCCTTTTCCTCGGTAAGGAAAGCCTTGATGTCGCCGACTAACCTCTTCCGTGGAAACTTCAGTACCTTCAGCTTGTATGTTCAGTGTGAAGCTGACCTTCTTGTCTTCTTCCTCGGGGGAAACCTCGGTCCCTCCACGTTCTTCTTTTAGGAAAACATTGATCTCTTGTATTAAACTGTAGGTGGAAGGACTAATTCCTGGGCCTTTTATGTTCATTGAAATATTTCGGAATTCCTTTTGGGCTAGGACAAGAAACCTAGTCTTTTCGAGTAACCTCTTAAGAGCTGATTCCATCCCTTGCCCTTTTATATGCAGAGTAAATCGGATCCGCTGTTCTGCTGAGTTGGGTTGCCCAGGGATTCCTTGGCCTCTTACATTCAGCGAATATGCTGTGATTTCCTTTTCCTCGGTAAGGAAAGCCTTGATGTCGCCGACTAACCTCTTCGTGGAAACTTCAGTTCCTTCAGCTTGTATGTTCAGTGTGAAGCTGACCTTCTTGTCTTCTTCCTCGGGGGAAACCTCGGTCCCTCCACGTTCTTCTTTTAGGAAAACATTGATCTCTTGTATTAAACTGTTGGTGGAAGGACTAATTCCTGGGCCTTTTATGTTCATTTAAATATTTCGAATTCCTTTTGGGCTAGGAGAAGAAACCTGGTCTTTTCGAGTAATCTCTTAAGAGCTGATTCCATCCCTTGCCCTTTTATATGCAGAGTAAATCGGATCCGCTGTTCTGCTGAGTTGGGTTGCCCAGGGATTCCTTGGCCTTCGACATTCAGAGAATATTCTGTGATTTCCTTTTCCTCGGTAAGGAAAGCCTTGATGTCGCCGACTAACCTCTTCGTGGAAACTTCAGTTCCTTCAGCTTGTATGTTCAGTGTGAAGCTGACCTTCTTGTCTTCTTCCTCGGGGGAAACCTCGGTCCCTCCACGTTCTTCTTTTAGGAAAACATTGATCTCTTGTATTAAACTGTAGGTGGAAGGACTAATTTCTGGGCCTTTTATGTTCATTGAAATATTTCGCAATTCCTTTTGGGCTAGGAGAAGAAACCTAGTCTTTTCGAGTAACCTCTTAAGAGCTGATTCCATCCCTTGCCCTTTTATATGCAGAGTAAATCGGATCCGCTGTTCTGCTGAGTTGGGTTGCCCAGGGATTCCTTGGCCTTCGACATTCAGAGAATATTTTGTGATTTCCTTTTCCTCGGTAAGGAAAGCCTTGATGTCGCCGACTAACCTCTTCGTGGAAACTTCAGTACCTTCAGCTTGTATGTTCAGTGTGAAGCTGACCTTCTTGTCTTCTTCCTCGGGGGAAACCTCGGTCCCTCCACGTTCTTCTTTTAGGAAAACATTGATCTCTTGTATTAAACTGTAGGTGGAAGGACTAATTTCTGGGCCTTTTATGTTCATTGAAATATTTCGAATTCCTTTTGGGCTAGGACAAGAAACCTAGTCTTTTCGAGTAACCTCTTAAGAGCTGATTCCATCCCTTGCCCTTTTATATGCAGAGTAAATCGGATCCGCTGTTCTGCTGAGTTGGGTTGCCCAGGGATTCCTTGGCCTCTTACATTCAGCGAATATTCTGTGATTTCCTTTTCCTCGGTAAGGAAAGCCTTGATGTCGCCGACTAACCTCTTCGTGGAAACTTCAGTTCCTTCAGCTTGTATGTTCAGTGTGAAGCTGACCTTCTTGTCTTCTTCCTCGGGGGAAACCTCGGTCCCTCCACGTTCTTCTTTTAGGAAAACATTGATCTCTTGTATTAAACTGTAGGTGGAAGGACTAATTCCTGGGCCTTTTATGTTCATTGAAATATTTCGGAATTCCTTTTGGGCTAGGACAAGAAACCTAATCTTTTCGAGTAACCTCTTAAGAGCTGATTCCATCCCTTGCCCTTTTATATGCAGAGTAAATCGGATCCGCTGTTCTGCTGAGTTGGGTTGCCCAGGGATTCCTTGGCCTCTTACATTCAGCGAATATTCTGTGATTTCCTTTTCCTCGGTAAGGAAAGCCTTGATGTCGCCGACTAACCTCTTCGTGGAAACTTCAGTTCCTTCAGCTTGTATGTTCAGTGTGAAGCTGACCTTCTTGTCTTCTTCCTCGGGGGAAACCTCGGTCCCTCCACGTTCTTCTTTTAGGAAAACATTGATCTCTTGTATTAAACTGTTGGTGGAAGGACTAATTCCTGGGCCTTTTATGTTCATTGAAATATTTCGAATTCCTTTTGGGCTAGGAGAAGAAACCTGGTCTTTTCGAGTAATCTCTTAAGAGCTGATTCCATCCCTTGCCCTTTTATATGCAGAGTAAATCGGATCCGCTGTTCTGCTGAGTTGGGTTGCCCAGGAATTCCTTGGCCTTCGACATTCAGCGAATATTTTGTGATTTCCTTTTCCTCGGTAAGGAAAGCCTTGATGTCGCCGACTAACCTCTTCGTGGAAACTTCAGTACCTTCAGCTTGTATGTTCAGTGTGAAGCTGACCTTCTTGTCTTCTTCCTCGGGGGAAACCTCGGTCCCTCCACGTTCTTCTTTTAGGAAAACATTGATCTCTTGTATTAAACTGTTGGTGGAAGGACTAATTTCTGGGCCTTTTATGTTCATTGAAATATTTCGCAATTCCTTTTGGGCTAGGAGAAGAAACCTAGTCTTTTCGAGTAACCTCTTAAGAGCTGATTCCATCCCTTGCCCTTTTATATGCAGAGTAAATCGGATCCGCTGTTCTGCTGAGTTGGGTTGCCCAGGGATTCCTTGGCCTCCGACATTCAGCGAATATTTTGTGATTTCCTTTTCCTCGGTAAGGAAAGCCTTGATGTCGCCGACTAACCTCTTCGTGGAAACTTCAGTACCTTCAGCTTGTATGTTCAGTGTGAAGCTGACCTTCTTGTCTTCTTCCTCGGGGGAAACCTCGGTCCCTCCACGTTCTTCTTTTAGGAAAACATTGATCTCTTGTATTAAACTGTAGGTGGAAGGACTAATTCCTGGGCCTTTTATGTTCATTGAAATATTTCGGAATTCCTTTTGGGCTAGGACAAGAAACCTAGTCTTTTCGAGTAATCTCTTAAGAGCTGATTCCATCCCTTGCCCTTTTATATGCAGAGTAAATCGGATCCGCTGTTCTGCTGAGTTGGGTTGCCCAGGGATTCCTTGGCCTCTTACATTCAGCGAATATGCTGTGATTTCCTTTTCCTCGGTAAGGAAAGCCTTGATGTCGCCGACTAACCTCTTCGTGGAATCTTCAGTTCCTTCAGCTTGTATGTTCAGTGTGAAGCTGACATTCTTGTCTTCTTCCTCGGGGGAAACCTCAGTCCCTCCACGTTTTTCTTTTAGGAAAACATTGATCTCTTGAATTAAACTGTAGGTGGAAGGACTAATTCCTGGGCCTTTTATGTTCATTGAAATATTTCGGAATTCCTTTTGGGCTAGGACAAGAAACCTGGTCTTTTCGAGTAATCTCTTAAGAGCTGATTCCATCCCTTGCCCTTTTATATGCAGAGTAAATCGGATCCGCTGTTCTGCTGAGTTGGGTTGCCCAGGGATTTCTTGGCCTCTTACATTCAGCGAATATTCTGTGATTTCCTTTTCCTCGGTAAGGAAAGCCTTGATGTCGCCGACTAACCTCTTCGTGGAAACTTCAGTTCCTTCAGCTTGTATGTTCAGTGTGAAGCTGACCTTCTTGTCTTCTTCCTCGGGGGAAACCTCGGTCCCTCCACGTTCTTCTTTTAGGAAAACATTGATCTCTTGTATTAAACTGTAGGTGGAAGGACTAATTCCTGGGCCTTTTATGTTCATTGAAATATTACGGAATTCCTTTTGGGCTAGGACAAGAAACCTGGTCTTTTCGAGTAATCTCTTAAGAGCTGATTCCATCCCTTGCCCTTTTATATGCAGAGTAAATGGGATCCACTGTTCTGCTGAGTTGGGTTGCCCAGGGATTCCTTGGCCTCTTATATTCAGAGAATATTCTGTGATTTCCTTTTCCTCGGTAAGGAAAGCCTTGATGTCGCCGACTAACCTCTTCGTGGAAACTTCAGTACCTTCAGCTTGTATGTTCAGTGTGAAGCTGACCTTCTTGTCTTCTTCCTCGGGGGAAACCTCGGTCCCTCCACGTTCTTCTTTTAGGAAAACATTGATCTCTTGTATTAAACTGTTGGTGGAAGGACTAATTCCTGGGCCTTTTATGTTCATTGAAATATTTCGAATTCCTTTTGGGCTAGGACAAGAAACCTAGTATTTTCGAGTAACCTCTTAAGAGCTGATTCCATCCCTTGCCCTTTTATATGCAGAGTAAATCGGATCCGCTGTTCTGCTGAGTTGGGTTGCCCAGGGATTCCTTGGCCTCTTACATTCAGCGAATATGCTGTGATTTCCTTTTCCTCGGTAAGGAAAGCCTTGATGTCGCCGACTAACCTCTTCGTGGAAACTTCAGTACCTTCAGCTTGTATGTTCAGTGTGAAGCTGACCTTCTTGTCTTCTTCCTCGGGGGAAACCTCAGTCCCTCCACGTTTTTCTTTTAGGAAAACATTGATCTCTTGAATTAAACTGTAGGTGGAAGGACTAATTCCTGGGCCTTTTATGTTCATTGAAATATTTCGCAATTCCTTTTGGGCTAGGACAAGAAACCTTGTCTTTTCGAGTAATCTCTTAAGAGCTGATTCCATCCCTTGCCCTTTTATATGCAGAGTAAATCGGATCCGCTGTTCTGCTGAGTTGGGTTGCCCAGGGATTCCTTGGCCTCTTACATTCAGCGAATATTCTGTGATTTCCTTTTCCTCGGTAAGGAAAGCCTTGATGTCGCCGACTAACCTCTTCGTGGAAACTTCAGTTCCTTCAGCTTGTATGTTCAGTGTGAAGCTGACCTTCTTGTCTTCTTCCTCGGGGGAAACCTCGGTCCCTCCACGTTCTTCTTTTAGGAAAACATTGATCTCTTGTATTAAACTGTAGGTGGGAGGACTAATTCCTGGGCCTTTTATTTTCATTAAAATATTACGGAATTCCTTTTGGGCTAGGACAAGAAACCTAGTCTTTTCGAGTAACCTCTTAAGAGCTGATTCCATCCCTTGCCCTTTTATATGCAGAGTAAATCGGATCCGCTGTTCTGCTGAGTTGGGTTGCCCAGGGATTCCTTGGCCTCTTACATTCAGCGAATATTCTGTGATTTCCTTTTCCTCGGTAAGGAAAGCCTTGATGTCGCCGACTAACCTCTTCGTGGAAACTTCAGTACCTTCAGCTTGTATGTTCAGTGTGAAGCTGACCTTCTTGTCTTCTTCCTCGGGGGAAACCTCGGTCCCTCCACGTTCTTCTTTTAGGAAAACATTGATCTCTTGTATTAAACTGTAGGTGGAAGGACTAATTCCTGGGCCTTTTATGTTCATTGAAATATTTCGGAATTCCTTTTGGGCTAGGAGAAGAAACCTAGTCTTTTCGAGTAACCTCTTAAGAGCTGATTCCATCCCTTGCCCTTTTATATGCAGAGTAAATCGGATCCGCTGTTCTGCTGAGTTGGGTTGCCCAGGGATTCCTTGGCCTCTCGACATTCAGAGAATATTTTGTGATTTCCTTTTCCTCGGTAAGGAAAGCCTTGATGTCGCCGACTAACCTCTTCGTGGAAACTTCAGTACCTTCAGCTTGTATGTTCAGTGTGAAGCTGACCTCCTTGTCTTCTTCCTCGGGGGAAACCTCGGTCCCTCCACGTTCTTCTTTTAGGAAAACATTGATCTCTTGTATTAAACTGTTGGTGGAAGGACTAATTTCTGGGCCTTTTACGTTCATTTATATATTTCGAAATCCTTTTGGGCTAGGAGAAGAAACCTAGTCTTTTCGAGTAACCTCTTAAGAGCTGATTCCATCCCTTGCCCTTTTATATGCAGAGTAAATCGGATCCGCTGTTCTGCTGAGTTGGGTTGCCCAGGGATTCCTTGGCCTCTTACATTCAGCGAATATGCTGTGATTTCCTTTTCCTCGGTAAGGAAAGCCTTGATGTCGCCGACTAACCTCTTCGTGGAATCTTCAGTTCCTTCAGCTTGTATGTTCAGTGTGAAGCTGACATTCTTGTCTTCTTCCTCGGGGGAAACCTCAGTCCCTCCACGTTTTTCTTTTAGGAAAACATTGATCTCTTGAATTAAACTGTAGGTGGAAGGACTAATTCCTGGGCCTTTTATGTTCATTGAAATATTTCGGAATTCCTTTTGGGCTAGGACAAGAAACCTGGTCTTTTCGAGTAATCTCTTAAGAGCTGATTCCATCCCTTGCCCTTTTATATGCAGAGTAAATCGGATCCGCTGTTCTGCTGAGTTGGGTTGCCCAGGGATTCCTTGGCCTCTTACATTCAGCGAATATGCTGTGATTTCCTTTTCCTCGGTAAGGAAAGCCTTGATGTCGCCGACTAACCTCTTCGTGGAATCTTCAGTTCCTTCAGCTTGTATGTTCAGTGTGAAGCTGACATTCTTGTCTTCTTCCTCGGGGGAAACCTCAGTCCCTCCACGTTCTTCTTTTAGGAAAACATTGATCTCTTGAATTAAACTGTGGGTGGAAGGACTAATTCCTGGGCCTTTTATGTTCATTGAAATATTACGGAATTCCTTTCGGACCAGGACAAGAAACCTGGTCATTTTCGATTAATCTCTTAAGAGCTGATTCCATCCCTTGCCCTTTTATATGCAGAGTAAATCGGATCCGCTGTTCTGCTGAGTTGGGTTGCCCAGGGATTCCTTGGCCTCTTACATTCAGCGAATATTCTGTGATTTCCTTTTCCTCGGTAAGGAAAGCCTTGATGTCGCCGACTAACCTCTTCGTGGAAACTTCAGTTCCTTCAGCTTGTATGTTCAGTGTGAAGCTGACCTTCTTGTCTTCTTCCTCGGGGGAAACCTCGGTCCCTCCACGTTCTTCTTTTAGGAAAACATTGATCTCTTGTATTAAACTGTAGGTGGAAGGACTAATTCCTGGGCCTTTTATGTTCATTGAAATATTTCGGAATTCCTTTTGGGCTAGGACAAGAAACCTGGTCATTTTCAGTAATCTCTTAAGAGCTGATTCCATCCCTTGCCCTTTTATATGCAGAGTAAATCGGATCTACTGTTCTGCTGAGTTGGGTTGCCGAGGAATTCCTTGGCCTTCGAAATTCAGAGAATATTCTGTGATTTCCTTTTCCTCGGTAAGGAAAGCCTTGATGTCGCCGACTAACCTCTTCGTGGAAACTTCAGTACCTTCAGCTTGTATGTTCAGTGTGAAGCTGACCTTCTTGTCTTCTTCCTCGGGGGAAACCTCGGTCCCTCCACGTTCTTCTTTTAGGAAAACATTGATCTCTTGTATTAAACTGTTGGTGGAAGGACTAATTTCTGGGCCTTTTATGTTCATTGAAATATTTCGGAATTCCTTTTGGGCTAGGACAAGAAACCTAGTCTTTTCGAGTAACCTCTTAAGAGCTGATTCCATCCCTTGCCCTTTTATATGCAGAGTAAATCGGATCCGCTGTTCTGCTGAGTTGGGTTGCCCAGGGATTCCTTGGCCTCTTACATTCAGCGAATATTTTGTGATTTCCTTTTCCTCGGTAAGGAAAGCCTTGATGTCGCCGACTAACCTCTTCGTGGAAACTTCAGTACCTTCAGCTTGTATGTTCAGTGTGAAGCTGACCTTCTTGTCTTCTTCCTCGGGGGAAACCTCGGTCCCTCCACGTTCTTCTTTTAGGAAAACATTGATCTCTTGTATTAAACTGTAGGTGGAAGGACTAATTCCTGGGCCTTTTATGTTCATTGAAATATTTCGGAATTCCTTTTGGGCTAGGACAAGAAACCTAGTCTTTTCGAGTAACCTCTTAAGAGCTGATTCCATCCCTTGCCCTTTTATATGCAGAGTAAATCGGATCTGCTGTTCTGCTGAGTTGGGTTGCCCAGGGATTTCTTGGCCTCTTACATTCAGCGAATATGCTGTGATTTCCTTTTCCTCGGTAAGGAAAGCCTTGATGTCGCCGACTAACCTCTTCGTGGAAACTTCAGTTCCTTCAGCTTGTATGTTCAGTGTGAAGCTGACCTTCTTGTCTTCTTCCTCGGGGGAAACCTCAGTCCCTCCACGTTCTTCTTTTAGGAAAACATTGATCTCTTGTATTAAACTGTTGGTGGAAGGACTAATTCCTGGGCCTTTTATGTTCATTGAAATATTTCGCAATTCCTTTTGGGCTAGGAGAAGAAACCTGGTCTTTTCGAGTAATCTCTTAAGAGCTGATTCCATCCCTTGCCCTTTTATATGCAGAGTAAATCGGATCCGCTGTTCTGCTGAGTTGGGTTGCCCAGGAATTCCTTGGCCTTCGACATTCAGAGAATATTTTGTGATTTCCTTTTCCTCGGTAAGGAAAGCCTTGATGTCGCCGACTAACCTCTTCGTGGAAACTTCAGTACCTTCAGCTTGTATGTTCAGTGTGAAGCTGACCTTCTTGTCCTCTTCCTCGGGGGAAACCTCCGTCCCTCCACGTTCTTCTTTTAGGAAAACATTGATCTCTTGTATTAAACTGTAGGTGGAAGGACTAATTCCTGGGCCTTTTATGTTCATTGAAATATTTCGGAATTCCTTTTGGGCTAGGACAAGAAACCTAGTCTTTTCGAGTAATCTCTTAAGAGCTGATTCCATCCCTTGCCCTTTTATATGCAGAGTAAATCGGATCCGCTGTTCTGCTGAGTTGGGTTGCCCAGGGATTCCTTGGCCTCTTACATTCAGCGAATATGCTGTGATTTCCTTTTCCTCGGTAAGGAAAGCCTTGATGTCGCCGACTAACCTCTTCGTGGAATCTTCAGTTCCTTCAGCTTGTATGTTCAGTGTGAAGCTGACATTCTTGTCTTCTTCCTCGGGGGAAACCTCAGTCCCTCCACGTTTTTCTTTTAGGAAAACATTGATCTCTTGTATTAAACTGTAGGTGGAAGGACTAATTCCTGGGCCTTTTATGTTCATTGAAATATTTCGAATTCCTTTTGGGCTAGGACAAGAAACCTAGTCTTTTCGAGTAACCTCTTAAGAGCTGATTCCATCCCTTGCCCTTTTATATGCAGAGTAAATCGGATCCGCTGTTCTGCTGAGTTGGGTTGCCCAGGGATTCCTTGGCCTCTTACATTCAGCGAATATGCTGTGATTTCCTTTTCCTCGGTAAGGAAAGCCTTGATGTCGCCGACTAACCTCTTCGTGGAAACTTCAGTTCCTTCAGCTTGTATGTTCAGTGTGAAGCTGACATTCTTGTCTTCTTCCTCGGGGGAAACCTCAGTCCCTCCACGTTTTTCTTTTAGGAAAACATTGATCTCTTGAATTAAACTGTAGGTGGAAGGACTAATTCCTGGGCCTTTTATGTTCATTGAAATATTTCGGAATTCCTTTTGGGCTAGGAGAAGAAACCTGGTCTTTTCGAGTAATCTCTTAAGAGCTGATTCCATCCCTTGCCCTTTTATATGCAGAGTAAATCGGATCCGCTGTTCTGCTGAGTTGGGTTGCCCAGGGATTTCTTGGCCTCTTACATTCAGCGAATATTCTGTGATTTCCTTTTCCTCGGTAAGGAAAGCCTTGATGTCGCCGACTAACCTCTTCGTGGAAACTTCAGTTCCTTCAGCTTGTATGTTCAGTGTGAAGCTGACCTTCTTGTCTTCTTCCTCGGGGGAAACCTCGGTCCCTCCACGTTCTTCTTTTAGGAAAACATTGATCTCTTGTATTAAACTGTTGGTGGAAGGACTAATTTCTGGGCCTTTTACGTTCATTGAAATATTACGCAATTCCTTTTGGGCTAGGACAAGAAACCTAGTCTTTTCGAGTAACCTCTTAAGAGCTGATTCCATCCCTTGCCCTTTTATATGCAGAGTAAATCGGATCCGCTGTTCTGCTGAGTTGGGTTGCTCAGGGATTCCTTGGCCTTCGACATTCAGAGAATATGCTGTGATTTCCTTTTCCTCGGTAAGGAAAGCCTTGATGTCGCCGACTAATCTCTTCGTGGAAACTTCAGTACCTTCAGCTTGTATGTTCAGTGTGAAGCTGACCTTCTTGTCTTCTTCCTCGGGGGAAACCTCGGTCCCTCCACGTTCTTCTTTTAGGAAAACATTGATCTCTTGTATTAAACTGTAGGTGGAAGGACTAATTTCTGGGCCTTTTATGTTCATTGAAATATTACGGAATTCCTTTTGGGCTAGGAGAAGAAACCTAGTCTTTTCGAGTAACCTCTTAAGAGCTGATTCCATCCCTTGCCCTTTTATATGCAGAGTAAATCGGATCCGCTGTTCTGCTGAGTTGGGTTGCTCAGGGATTCCTTGGCCTTTGACATTCAGAGAATATTTTGTGATTTCCTTTTCCTCGGTAAGGAAAGCCTTGATGTCGCCGACTAACCTCTTCGTGGAAACTTCAGTACCTTCAGCTTGTATGTTCAGTGTGAAGCTGACCTTCTTGTCTTCTTCCTCGGGGGAAACCTCGGTCCCTCCACGTTCTTCTTTTAGGAAAACATTGATCTCTTGTATTAAACTGTTGGTGGAAGGACTAATTACTGGGCCTTTTATGTTCATTGAAATAGTTCGGAATTCCTTTTGGGCTAGGAGAAGAAACCTGGTCTTTTCGAGTAATCTCTTAAGAGCTGATTCCATCCCTTGCCCTTTTATATGCAGAGTAAATCGGATCCGCTGTTCTGCTGAGTTGGGTTGCCCAGGGATTCCTTGGCCTCTTACATTCAGCGAATATGCTGTGATTTCCTTTTCCTCGGTAAGGAAAGCCTTGATGTCGCCGACTAACCTCTTCGTGGAATCTTCAGTTCCTTCAGCTTGTATGTTCAGTGTGAAGCTGACATTCTTGTCTTCTTCCTCGGGGGAAACCTCAGTCCCTCCACGTTTTTCTTTTAGGAAAACATTGATCTCTTGAATTAAACTGTAGGTGGAAGGACTAATTCCTGGGCCTTGTATGTTCATTGAAATATTACGGAATTCCTTTTGGCCTAGGACAAGAAACTTGGTCTTTTTCAGTAATCTCTTAAGAGCTGATTCCATCCCTTGCCCTTTTATATGCAGAGTAAATCGGATCCGCTGTTCTGCTGAGTTGGGTTGCCCAGGGATTCCTTGGCCTCTTACATTCAGCGAATATGCTGTGATTTCCTTTTCCTCGGTAAGGAAAGCCTTGATGTCGCCGACTAACCTCTTCGTGGAATCTTCAGTTCCTTCAGCTTGTATGTTCAGTGTGAAGCTGACATTCTTGTCTTCTTCCTCGGGGTAAACCTCAGTCCCTCCACGTTCTTCTTTTAGGAAAACATTGATCTCTTGAATTAAACTGTGGGTGGAAGGACTAATTCCTGGGCCTTTTATGTTCATTGAAATATTACGGAATTCCTTTCGGACCAGGACAAGAAACCTGGTCATTTTCGAGTAATCTCTTAAGAGCTGATTCCATCCCTTGCCCTTTTATATGCAGAGTAAATCGGATCCGCTGTTCTGCTGAGTTGGGTTGCCCAGGGATTTCTTGGCCTCTTACATTCAGCGAATATTCTGTGATTTCCTTTTCCTCGGTAAGGAAAGCCTTGATGTCGCCGACTAACCTCTTCGTGGAAACTTCAGTTCCTTCAGCTTGTATGTTCAGTGTGAAGCTGACATTCTTGTCTTCTTCCTCGGGGGAAACCTCGGTCCCTCCACGTTCTTCTTTTAGGAAAACATTGATCTCTTGTATTAAACTGTAGGTGGAAGGACTAATTCCTGGGCCTTTTATGTTCATTGAAATATTACGCATTTCCTTTTGGACCAGGACAAGAAACCTGGTCATTTTCAGTAATCTCTTAAGAGCTGATTCCATCCCTTGCCCTTTTAGATGCAGAGTAAATCGGATCCGCTGTTCTGCTGAGTTGGGTTGCCCAGGAATGCCTTGGCCTTCGAAATTCAGAGAATATTCTGTGATTTCCTTTTCCTCGGTAAGGAAAGCCTTGATGTCGCCGACTAACCTCTTCGTGGAAACTTCAGTACCTTCAGCTTGTATGTTCAGTGTGAAGCTGACCTTCTTGTCTTCTTCCTCGGGGGAAACCTCGGTCCCTCCACGTTCTTCTTTTAGGAAAACATTGATCTCTTGTATTAAACTGTTGGTGGAAGGACTAATTTCTGGGCCTTTATGTTCATTGAAATATTTCGCAATTCCTTTTGGGCTAGGACAAGAAACCTAATCTTTTCGAGTAACCTCTTAAGAGCTGATTCCATCCCTTGCCCTTTTATATGCAGAGTAAATCGGATCCGCTGTTCTGCTGAGTTGGGTTGCCCAGGGATTCCTTGGCCTTCGACATTCAGAGAATATTTTGTGATTTCCTTTTCCTCGGTAAGGAAAGCCTTGATGTCGCCGACTAACCTCTTCGTGGAAACTTCAGTACCTTCAGCTTGTATGTTCAGTGTGAAGCTGACCTTCTTGTCTTCTTCCTCGGGGGAAACCTCGGTCCCTCCACGTTCTTCTTTTAGGAAAACATTGATCTCTTGTATTAAACTGTAGGTGGAAGGACTAATTCCTGGGCCTTTTATGTTCATTGAAATAGTTCTGAATTCCTTTTGGGCTAGGACAAGAAACCTAGTCTTTTCGAGTAACCTCTTAAGAGCTGATTCCATCCCTTGCCCTTTTATATGCAGAGTAAATCGGATCCGCTGTTCTGCTGAGTTGGGTTGCCCAGGGATGTCTTGGCCTCTTACATTCAGCGAATATGCTGTGATTTCCTTTTCCTCGGTAAGGAAAGCCTTGATGTCACCGACTAACCTCTTCGTGGAAACTTCAGTTCCTTCAGCTTGTATGTTCAGTGTGAAGCTGACCTTCTTGTCTTCTTCCTCGGGGGAAACCTCAGTCCCTCCACGTTCTTCTTTTAGGAAAACATTGATCTCTTGTATTAAACTGTTGGTGGAAGGACTAATTTCTGGGCCTTTTATGTTCATTGAAATATTGCGCAATTCCTTTTGGGCTAGGAGAAGAAACCTAGTCTTTTCGAGTAACCTCTTAAGAGCTGATTCCATCCCTTGCCCTTTTATATGCAGAGTAAATCGGATCCGCTGTTCTGCTGAGTTGGGTTGCCAAGGAATTCCTTGGCCTTCGACATTCAGAGAATATTTTTTGATTTCCTTTTCCTCGGTAAGGAAAGCCTTGATGTCGCCGACTAACCTCTTCGTGGAAACTTCAGTACCTTCAGCTTGTATTTTCAGTGTGAAGCTGACCTCCTTGTCTTCTTCCTCGGGGGAAACCTCCGTCCCTCCACGTTCTTCTTTTAGGAAAACATTGATCTCCTGTATTAAACTGTTGGTGGAAGGACTAATTTCTGGGCCTTTTATGTTCATTGAAATATTTCGCAATTCCTTTTGGGCTAGGACAAGAAACCTAATCTTTTCGAGTAATCTCTTAAGAGCTGATTCCATCCCTTGCCCTTTTATATGCAGAGTAAATCGGATCCGCTGTTCTGCTGAGTTGGGTTGCCCAGGGATTCCTTGGCCTCTTACATTCAGCGAATATGCTGTGATTTCCTTTTCCTCGGTAAGGAAAGCCTTGATGTCGCCGACTAACCTCTTCGTGGAATCTTCAGTTCCTTCAGCTTGTATGTTCAGTGTGAAGCTGACATTCTTGTCTTCTTCCTCGGGGTAAACCTCAGTCCCTCCACGTTCTTCTTTTAGGAAAACATTGATCTCTTGAATTAAACTGTGGGTGGAAGGACTAATTCCTGGGCCTTTTATGTTCATTGAAATATTACGGAATTCCTTTCGGACCAGGACAAGAAACCTGGTCATTTTCAGTAATCTCTTAAGAGCTGATTCCATCCCTTGCCCTTTTATATGCAGAGTAAATCGGATCCGCTGTTCTGCTGAGTTGGGTTGCCCAGGGATTTCTTGGCCTCTTACATTCAGCGAATATTCTGTGATTTCCTTTTCCTCGGTAAGGAAAGCCTTGATGTCGCCGACTAACCTCTTCGTGGAAACTTCAGTTCCTTCAGCTTGTATGTTCAGTGTGAAGCTGACCTTCTTGTCTTCTTCCTCGGGGGAAACCTCGGTCCCTCCACGTTCTTCTTTTAGGAAAACATTGATCTCTTGTATTAAACTGTTGGTGGAAGGACTAATTTCTGGGCCTTTTATGTTCATTGAAATATTACGCAATTCCTTTTGGGCTAGGAGAAGAAACCTAGTCTTTTCGAGTAACCTCTTAAGAGCTGATTCCATCCCTTGCCCTTTTATATGCAGAGTAAATGGGATCCACTGTTCTGCTGAGTTGGGTTGCCGAGGAATTCCTTGGCCTTCGACATTCAGAGAATATTCTGTGATTTCCTTTTCCTCGGTAAGGAAAGCCTTGATGTCGCCGACTAACCTCTTCGTGGAAACTTCAGTACCTTCAGCTTGTATGTTCAGTGTGAAGCTGACCTTCTTGTCTTCTTCCTCGGGGGAAACCTCGGTCCCTCCACGTTCTTCTTTTAGGAAAACATTGATCTCTTGTATTAAACTGTAGGTGGAAGGACTAATTTCTGGGCCTTTTATGTTCATTGAAATATTTCGCAATTCCTTTTGGGCTAGGAGAAGAAACCTAGTCTTTTCGAGTAACCTCTTAAGAGCTGATTCCATCCCTTGCCCTTTTATATGCAGAGTAAATCGGATTCGCTCTTCTGTTGAGTTGGGTTGCCCAGGGATTCCTTGGCCTCTTACATTCAGCGAATATGCTGTGATTTCCTTTTCCTCGGTAAGGAAAGCCTTGATGTCGCCGACTAACCTCTTCGTGGAAACTTCAGTACCTTCAGCTTGTATGTTCAGTGTGAAGCTGACCTTCTTGTCTTCTTCCTCGGGGGAAACCTCGGTCCCTCCACGTTCTTCTTTTAGGAAAACATTGATCTCTTGTATTAAACTGTAGGTGGAAGGACTAATTCCTGGGCCTTTTATGTTCATTGAAATATTACGCAATTCCTTTCGGACCAGGACAAGAAACCTGGTCATTTTCAGTAATCTCTTAAGAGCTGATTCCATCCCTTGCCCTTTTATATGCAGAGTAAATGGGATCCACTGTTCTGCTGAGTTGGGTTGCCGAGGAATTCCTTGGCCTTCGACATTCAGAGAATATTCTGTGATTTCCTTTTCCTCGGTAAGGAAAGCCTTGATGTCGCCGACTAACCTCTTCGTGGAAACTTCAGTACCTTCAGCTTGTATGTTCAGTGTGAAGCTGACCTTCTTGTCTTCTTCCTCGGGGGAAACCTCGGTCCCTCCACGTTCTTCTTTTAGGAAAACATTGATCTCTTGTATTAAACTGTAGGTGGAAGGACTAATTTCTGGGCCTTTTATGTTCATTGAAATATTTCGCAATTCCTTTTGGGCTAGGACAAGAAACCTAATCTTTTCGAGTAACCTCTTAAGAGCTGATTCCATCCCTTGCCCTTTTATATGCAGAGTAAATCGGATCCGCTGTTCTGCTGAGTTGGGTTGCCCAGGGATTCCTTGGCCTCTTACATTCAGCGAATATGCTGTGATTTCCTTTTCCTCGGTAAGGAAAGCCTTGATGTCGCCGACTAACCTCTTCGTGGAATCTTCAGTTCCTTCAGCTTGTATGTTCAGTGTGAAGCTGACATTCTTGTCTTCTTCCTCGGGGGAAACCTCAGTCCCTCCACGTTTTTCTTTTAGGAAAACATTGATCTCTTGAATTAAACTGTAGGTGGAAGGACTAATTCCTGGGCCTTGTATGTTCATTGAAATATTACGGAATTCCTTTTGGCCTAGGACAAGAAACCTGGTCTTTTTCAGTAATCTCTTAAGAGCTGATTCCATCCCTTGCCCTTTTATATGCAGAGTAAATCGGATCCGCTGTTCTGCTGAGTTGGGTTGCCCAGGGATTCCTTGGCCTCTTACATTCAGCGAATATGCTGTGATTTCCTTTTCCTCGGTAAGGAAAGCCTTGATGTCGCCGACTAACCTCTTCGTGGAATCTTCAGTTCCTTCAGCTTGTATGTTCAGTGTGAAGCTGACATTCTTGTCTTCTTCCTCGGGGTAAACCTCAGTCCCTCCACGTTCTTCTTTTAGGAAAACATTGATCTCTTGAATTAAACTGTGGGTGGAAGGACTAATTCCTGGGCCTTTTATGTTCATTGAAATATTACGGAATTCCTTTCGGACCAGGACAAGAAACCTGGTCATTTTCAGTAATCTCTTAAGAGCTGATTCCATCCCTTGCCCTTTTATATGCAGAGTAAATCGGATCCGCTGTTCTGCTGAGTTGGGTTGCCCAGGGATTCCTTGGCCTCTTACATTCAGCGAATATGCTGTGATTTCCTTTTCCTCGGTAAGGAAAGCCTTGATGTCGCCGACTAACCTCTTCGTGGAATCTTCAGTTCCTTCAGCTTGTATGTTCAGTGTGAAGCTGACATTCTTGTCTTCTTCCTCGGGGTAAACCTCAGTCCCTCCACGTTCTTCTTTTAGGAAAACATTGATCTCTTGAATTAAACTGTGGGTGGAAGGACTAATTCCTGGGCCTTTTATGTTCATTGAAATATTACGGAATTCCTTTCGGACCAGGACAAGAAACCTGGTCATTTTCAGTAATCTCTTAAGAGCTGATTCCATCCCTTGCCCTTTTATATGCAGAGTAAATCGGATCCGCTGTTCTGCTGAGTTGGGTTGCCCAGGGATTTCTTGGCCTCTTACATTCAGCGAATATTCTGTGATTTCCTTTTCCTCGGTAAGGAAAGCCTTGATGTCGCCGACTAACCTCTTCGTGGAAACTTCAGTTCCTTCAGCTTGTATGTTCAGTGTGAAGCTGACCTTCTTGTCTTCTTCCTCGGGGGAAACCTCGGTCCCTCCACGTTCTTCTTTTAGGAAAACATTGATCTCTTGTATTAAACTGTAGGTGGAAGGACTAATTCCTGGGCCTTTTATGTTCATTGAAATATTTCGGAATTCCTTTTGGGCTAGGAGAAGAAACCTGGTCTTTTTCACTAATCTCTTAAGAGCTGATTCCATCCCTTGCCCTTTTATATGCAGAGTAAATCGGATCCGCTGTTCTGCTGAGTTGGGTTGCCCAGGGATTTCTTGGCCTCTTACATTCAGCGAATATTCTGTGATTTCCTTTTCCTCGGTAAGGAAAGCCTTGATGTCGCCGACTAACCTCTTCGTGGAAACTTCAGTTCCTTCAGCTTGTATGTTCAGTGTGAAGCTGACCTTCTTGTCTTCTTCCTCGGGGGAAACCTCGGTCCCTCCACGTTCTTCTTTTAGGAAAACATTGATCTCTTGTATTAAACTGTAGGTGGAAGGACTAATTCCTGGGCCTTTTATGTTCATTGAAATATTACGGAATTCCTTTTGGCCTAGGACAAGAAACTTGGTCTTTTTCAGTAATCTCTTAAGAGCTGATTCCATCCCTTGCCCTTTTATATGCAGAGTAAATCGGATCCGCTGTTCTGCTGAGTTGGGTTGCCCAGGGATTCTTTGGCCTTCGACATTCAGAGAATATTCTGTGATTTCCTTTTCCTCGGTAAGGAAAGCCTTGATGTCGCCGACTAACCTCTTCATGGAAACTTCAGTTCCTTCAGCTTGTATGTTCATTGTGAAACTGACCTTCTTGTCTTCTTCCACGGAGCAAACCTTTTCTGGAGAATCAACTCTCCTGCCACCATCTGGGAAGGGAAAATGGGATTACTTAGCAAAAGCCATTTCTTAAATTCTTGCACATCTAATACCAACCATCATGGTTGAACTTTGTCTTTCTTCTAGATTGCCATCATTTCTACTGAATTGATACTCTCTAATAATAACAGGAGTTTGGATACTCTTTTGGATACTCTCTAATAATAACAGCAGTTTGCATATTTTTAGTACTTTTGAATTACCGACTGCTATGTTTGAGTTTTAGCATTTATACAAATCCTGTCAGTTTAATTAGTGTTCTTCTCTACCTAGTGCAGACGGGAGCAAGAATCACCTGGTGGATTCAGAGCAGAGTGAAAGTCAATCCTTGTAAACTGAATTTCATGTTCACTCTCTAAGCTTCAATTTCTCATTGGCATATGATGTATCTAATTCTATACTTTAAGATTGATATGTATTCTGTAGGCCTCTATTAGGGCTTTTCCACTGGGATGTGGGTGGTGCTCTGGTCTAAACAATTGAGCCTCTTGGGCTTGCGAAGTGTAAGGTTGGCAATTTGAATCCCCACGATGGGGTGAGCTCCCGTTGCTTTGTCCTAGCTTCTGCCAACCTAGCAGTTCGAAAGCACACCATTGCAAGTAGATAGAGTTGTAGTCTTGGAGGTCTACATCCCAGCTCTTAGGGTACTTAAATCTTGTAGAACTGAGAGGTGAAACCATGGTGTGATAGTCTCTCCCAAATTGAGGCAAAATTAAAGTCAATTGTTATGGCTTGGTCTCTCCCACAAACGTGAGATGACTCTGGCTGTTATTTATTTCAGATTTATTGCTAAAACAACAAACTAGGACATAGCTCCTCTACTCATCCTCCTCCTCAGAAGATGGAGTTTCCCAGGATGAGCTCCTCCCCCTTCCCCAGCACAGAAGCCCCCACCTTCTCTTCCAGTATCTTTCGACACTTTCAAGATCCTATGAGATTTGGGAGAGAATGCTTCCTGCATACCAAAGTCTCTATCGTGGCTCTCACACAGCTGCCTGTCCCTCTGGCCCTGTTTTTCTCCTCCCCTTTGTTCAGCGCTCAGGTTACAGCAGCTCTCCCCCTCCTCTCTGCCTTCCAGTGTTAACTGTCCTCTCCCTATGCCTGCTTCTCCTCCTCCTGTCAGCACCTGAGCTTTGCTGACATCAATGGAGCTAAACCATTGGGTTTAAGGTTTAACATGAGCCAATATAAGATGTGAATTTCAACTAGTGCGTTTGATGTGATTCTTAATTAGGTATAATTTATTTTAGTTTTAAAATTTTGTGTCTTTTAAGTTATTGTTGCAAATCTTTCTTAATTATAAGTTCTAGCTAATTATGTAAATAAATAGCTAATTATGTAGAATCTCTCCTGCAGATTCCATTCTGAGTAAGGCATTAGGAGCTCAACATGGGACACCAAAAATGCTGCAAATGGGAAATCATTGTCAAAGGAAAAAGAAGGATGATTGAGGGTAATTATTTTTGCAAGTTCCTCGCAGGGACAGAGAGGCTTCACTCACAGTTCATCTTGGTACCTGGCTCTCGCTCGAGCATGAAATGTGGGAGGCAGGGAGGTGCTGAGTGCATAAGCACTTCAGCTGCCGAAAACCCACCTACGCCACCATTAAGAAGAAGAGGCTCTCCTGATAATTAGAGCTTCGCCTCATCCCGAGGGACGAGGGTAGGGTGAGCAAGGATTACTCACCTCCGTCACTGGTGCTGTGCAATGCCAGGTCTATAGGCAACAAACCGCCACCCTACGAGATTTCTTTACCTCGCAGGGGGTCAACCTGGCTTGTGTGACGGAGACCTGGGTGCGCGAAGGGGAAACAGTTTCCTTACGAGAGATGGCGCCCCCGGGTTTCTCCGTCCTCCACCAGTCGCGGACTGTGGGCCGGGTGGGAGGAGTGGCATTATTAATCCGGGAAGATTGTCCTTTCAGGGCTCTACCATCGCCATCGATCCCCGGCATTGAATGTGTTGGCCTAGTGTGGGGCTCCGAGGAGAGCTTGGCTGTCTGGCTAGTATACCGGCCACCTAGTGCACCAGCAGCCACCCTGTCAGGCCTACTGGAGGCGGTGGACGGCTGGGCCTTGGAGTTCCCTAACCTATTGCTATTGCGGGTCTTCAACATCCATGCTGATGCCACTCCCTCCTCACAGGCTCTGGACCTGGTGTCTTCCATGGCGACACTAGGGCTCTCCCAGTTTGTTTCGGGCCCCACACATCAAGCAGGCCACACGCTGGATTTGATCTTTGGCGTAGGTCTAGATGTGATCATGTCTCCTTCGATGAAGGTGCCATGGTCTGATCACTACGCTCTGAAAGCCAAGATGGACTTCCCACCCTGCTTAGGTGGCGAGCCGATTTGGGCTCACCCACAGAGGCTGATGGACCCTGATAGATTCCGCCAAGCCTTGCGGGACCTTGCTCCCCCTGGCGACTCATTGACTGAGCTTGTTGAGGGCTGGAATACCCAGCTCCTGGCAGCCATCGATGAGATCGCACCTAAGCGCCCTCTGCGACCCCACAGAAACCGGGTTCCCTGGTTTACCGAGGAGCTCCGGAAAATGAAGCGGGACCTCAGACGGCTAGAGCGAGTATGGCGGGGTGCCCGTGACGGAGCCTCAAGAACATCTTATAGGGCTTTTATGAAAACCTACGAGATGGCGGTGAAGGCTGCTAAGAAGTCATACTTCTCGGCCTCCATTGCATCCGCTAGCTTTCGCCCAGCGCAATTATTTAGTATAATTAGGTCTTTAACGTCCCTTGAGGGACAGCCAAATTTAAATAACAATTTAACACACAGCTGTGAGGCATTTGCGAGCTTTTTTGCGGAGAAGGTCTTGTTGCTCCGCCATGACCTCCCTGCCAATTTGGATACAATAAAGGAACTGGAGGCCCCTCGACTGTCCAGTATTGGAGCACTTCAACCGGATATCCCCAGCCGATGTGGACAGACTCCTCCGAGCTGGAAAGCCCACCACCTGTCCTCTCAACCCGTGCCCTTCTTGGCTGATTAGAGCGTGTCCAGACGAGGTGCGGGCCCTCCTGGGGGATATCATTAATTTGTCCCTTGGCACGGGGACATTCCCAGGGGAACTGAAGGAGGCAGTGGTGCGCCCGCTCTTAAAGAAAACATCATTAGATCCTTTAGATCTATCCAATTACCGCCCGGTTTCGAATCTTCCATTTGTAAGGTGATTGAGAGAGCGGTTGCTGAACAGCTTGGTGGGTTTCTGAATGAAACATCGGCTCTGGATCCATTCCAGTCCGGCTTCCTGCCTGGTCATGGGACCGAGGCGGCTCTGGTTGCCCTAACAGATGATCTTCGTAGACAGCTGGATCGAGGTGGGTCGGGGCTGCTGATTCTTCTAGATCTGTCAGCAGCTTTCGACATGGTCGATCATGAACTCCTGGACCACCGCCTTGCCGATGTGGGGATCCAGGGCACAGTCCTTCAATGGCTGCGCTCGTTTCTCTCTGGTCAGGGACTGAGGGTGGCGCTTGGGGGGGAATTGTCATCGCGCCACTCCTTGGTGTGTGGAGTACCTCAGGGTGCGATACTCTCCCCGATGCTTTTCAACATCTTTATGCGCCCCCTCGCCCAGCTTGTCCGGAGTTTTGGGCTGGGTTGCCATCAATATGCTGATGACACCCAACTCTATCTGTTGATGGATGGCCATCCTGACTCGGCCCCAGACACACTGACCAGATGTTTGGAAGCTGTGGCTGGATGGTTACATGGGAGCCGGTTGAAAATAAATCCTTCGAAGACAGAGGTCCTGTGGCTGGGACGGGACGATATGGGATTGGGGGGGCAACTCCCATCTCTTGCGGGGGTGCAATTAGTGCCAGACCGTCCGTTAGGAGTTTGGGTGTAATCTTCGACACCTCCCTTTCCATGGAGGTGCAGATTGCAGCTATAACAAAGGCAGCATTTTTCCATCTCCACCAAGCTAAGCAGTTGGCTCCTTACCTCTCTGGCCCTGACCTAGCCACTGTGATCCACGCGGCGGTCACCTCCAGACTGGATTATTGTAACTCGCTCTACGTGGGGCTGCCCTTGAGACTGACCCAGAAACTCCAGCGGGTGCAGAATGCTGCAGCGAGACTCCTTACGGGGTACTAGCTGCGAGATCACATTCACCCGGTGCTATACCAGCTGCACTGGCTCCTGGTGGAGTACAGGATCAGGTTTAAGGTGCTGGTTTTAACCTTTAAAGCCCTATACGGCCTAGGACCCTCGTACCTACGGGACCGCCTCTCCTGGTATGTCCCACAGAGAAACTTACGGTCTTCAAATAAAAACATCTTGAAGGTCCCAGGCCACAGAGAGGTTAGGCTGGCCTCAACTAGAGCCAGGGCTTTTTCGGCTGTAGCTCTGATCTGGTGGAACACTCTGTCACAAGAGACCAGGGCCCTGCAGGACTTAACATCCTTCTGCAGGGCCTGCAAGACAGAGCTGTTCCCCAGGCCTTTGGCCAGGGCACATCCTGACTCCCTCCTTCGGCAATCTTCACGGAGCTCTGGCCCAATGGTTGCCAGTGGTTTAATTTGAATTAATTTTATAAGGATTGATTTTAGAGTGCTGTGTTGTGTTGTACTATTGTACTGTTTTATTGTTGTTAGCCGCCCTGAGCCCGGCTTCGGCTTGGGAGGGTGGGATATAAATAAAATTTTTTATTATTATTATTATTATTATTATTATTATTATTATTATTATTATAGCTTAATTTGGACTAAAGTACAGGTGCATGCTAGAAGAGATGAGATCACAAACTACAGAACAGAACCAACTGCAAGGACTTTAAGGTTTGAACTTGAGAGAAGACTTCATTCAGTGCAAAAGACGGTGTAGGGTGAGGGGACCCTACAGTTTCTTTATATAAAGTTTTCTTCTCTACATTTATGATTCGGCAACCCTCCTTTCAATGTTAGTTCAAATTATACTTGTACAAGTGAGGAGGGAATAAATTGGATTATAGATATGGAATATAACATTCAAC